TTGGTATTACGCTCTTGAAAGTTTTTTTAATGTTAACAAGAATTAAGATTTCTTCTAGTCTAGCAAAACAATTTCTTTCCCATCATCGTTGTCACAGCTGGCAGCTTAATCAGTCTGTATTACGGGTAGTGCCAATGGGATCGTCTACCTCCTATTGCATTTAGTGTCGTCTCACATCATCTACAATATGCATTAAGTGATCACCATCATTTTATTTTCCATTCCATGCGGAACATTTACGTACACTTCAATTTGTTGAGACACAACCAGTATACATTTAATCTAGGATGAGCTGTTTCTTCTAACCATTCACTCATCCTTTCCTCATAGTGTAATTACATGAGCGATAAGTAGCCCTAGATGCTTGGTTTTGTTAATGTGTGTTAGAGATCTCTAGTAAAGAATTACTACAGACACGTCTTAACCTAATCACAGACGTGTGTTTGTATATCACAGTCGCGTGTTAGTAATACACGTTTGTAGTATACGCTTATTACAGGCGCGGAAAACACGCTTTTGCGCGTATGTAATAAGCCCTTACTACAAACGTGTTATTACAGAAGCGCGTCTGTGACTCTGAACACGCGTCTGTGATGTGCTTTTTTACATAGTGAGAACAGGACTGAAATTTTTTGTGTTGAATTAGCAAGCCACATTGTATTTAGTATGTGCCATTCGTATTCTGTGGTTCACTTTGAAAATGAGAGCAAACAGAAAGGTAGCAATATTAGTTTATGAAGCCCTGTTTCGTACTGCAAATTTAGATAGTTATCTTGCTATTGCAATACTTGTATTTAGATTTGGGAAAAGTCATACAAAACAGATTTTGACCTTTAGGGCTGTTAGGTTGCACAGTAGATTTCGGATGATTTCGGATGATTCAATAGTGTTCTATCGCAATATGTTGTTATTTGCTAATGAATCAATGTCATCGGAGGCACTTTAAATGCAAATCTATTGCTGTTTATAAGTTCATTTTATGTCCTAAACTTGTATAAAATTTGACTTTTTCCTGTATGAAATATGATTATAGTTGTGGGACGGAGTGAATATCATTTTTCTTCTCGACTGTACTATTTGGTACGTATTTCAAAGAGAAAGTAGAGTGTTTTTGAATTACAAACTTAGCTGTATCCATGGATTACCGCTGCCAACGCGGAACCTAGAAACACAAGGGCGTGTTTGTCTTGCCTCGATGTGCCTAGCCTGCATGGACCAGCCCAGCCAGGGTAGGCAAGGGTAGGCCCAGGGGCTGCAACACCCGCTTGTTTGGTTGTTTTTCTCAACTGGGCCTGTTCCAAGCCGGATTTTGTCTGTTTGCCTGGACGTCTTGCCAGTGATCCCAACTATCTCCCAACCACCGGTCTAGGATGATGTTTGTTTGCCTGCACGTCTGGGCAGGCCAACGAACAAGCATAGGATAGCACAAATGAAGGCATACAAGAGTCTATGCAATAGCAATTGTTTGGACCAGTTTAACTCATATTACAACATGATAAAACACAGTTTAGTGTAACTAAATAAACTGATAACCAAGTTGTTCATTACTAGCCGCTTTTGCAATTGTTCAGCTTCATCCACATGAGAAAAACCAAAGCACACAGAAAGATAATGACAACATTTTTGTAGTTCATAGCCGAACTTGGTGCTGCAGCCTCTCGATAGCCCAGCATGTGCTCACTGCACCTAGCCCAGCTGGGGTACACACCAGGTTTGTACCCCTTGAAAACAACATATTGTAACACCCTAAAATTTGCACCTTTGAAAATAGGGTCAAATTAATTTAATTTTGTATTTTTGTGCTCACGAAAATATAGGGAAATAATAAATTTTTATTAAATTAAAATTTATCTTAAGATAAAAACATGTTTGTTGCATTAATGTCGGTCACACCTTGTGTTTCTATGTGCAAATTATTTTTTTAAAAATACGTTTAGGAGACCAATATCAATCTCAAGGAATTTTTCAGCTTCTTTTTGGAATTTAATTCCTACCTCCTTGACCTTAATCTTTGTGTTCCAAGTTTCCAATAATCATTTCATGATCTCCAAATCTTTTACTTGAGTTCTTCATCCTTCAATTTGCCTTCAAGATTCTTCTAAGCTTCGAAACATTTTTCGTGATATAAATGGTAATTCTAGACTTTCTAGAATTATTTTTATTTCATGATATTAATTAATTTCGAAATTAAAAAAATATGAGCTCAATTTTCCACTGACTCTAAAAGGCCCATGCCTTTATTTACTAATGGGCTTATATTATTATTTAGGCCTATTAGTGGAGGTGGATGGTGCAACATCAATTAGTACCATATTGCTAGTTGATGTGAAGGTAGGGAATTTTCCTCTCTATATATATGTATCAACCCCTTGGCAAAGCACACCAAAACTACCATAAAGAAAGCCTCTAGTTTGGGAATCCCTAAGGTAATAAAATTAGATTTTTTCCCTCTCTCTACGTTCCAATGTCTCGCCTATACATGTCGTCCCGTCCCTGCATTGTCAATTGGACGACCGAGCACCATGGCCTGGCACCACGTGGCTGGCTGGCATGCAAGCCATCGTCACCGTTTTGGTTGGATGAGCGTGCGAGCGGTCAGCTACTGCGGTATTGGTATAGCTCCAAGAAAAAGCCGCTGCCGGCGAACCTGCCCGTCGACCAGCGCTGGTTAGCTTCTGCACACTACGCCAGATTTGCACATCACTGCTGGCCTCATCACTGCCGGATTTGTGAGAACCGACAGTGATGTACCTTCACTGCCGGTTATGAGCTTGAAAATGAAAAAATGATTAGGGCTAGACTAAAACCAGCAGTGAAGGACCACATCACTGTCGGTTCGTGGCTTGCACCGGCAGTGTTTTGGCGGGCACTCATCACTGTCGGTTTAAGCCAAGAGCCGACAGTGATTGGGCACTATCACTATCGGTTCTAGCCAAGAACCGACGGTGATAAGCCTACAACACAAAAAGGCTGCAGCCGTCCTCTCCTCCCTCCTTTCTTCCATCCCGAGAACAGAGACGCGCGTTTGGACTCTTCCCTCCATTGTTGCGGCTGCTCTTTACCATAAAGCTAGTGCTTGGATTTTGAAGAATGGTTTGATCTTTTTGCTTTAAGGTTAGTAACAAACATCCACTCCTTTGATTTTGTTGCTTAATTAGCTTCATTTTGATGGCTACATTGCTTGATTCTCATTCTAGTTCTTTCTCCATTCTAGAGATCACTTTTCCAATTGGATATTTGTGCAAGGCTCAGATTGTGGTGAATCCATCATCCAAAAGGTTGGTGTCTATGAACACATTTAAATTCCTAGCTAATTATTTCATGGTGGTCAAGATCATCATTGTTAGTATGTGATGTCATAATTAGTTCTTAGAAGTAGAGTAGAATAGTTGTTCTTCAATATTGTGTAATAATTGTTTTTTACTACGATTTTCAATTTACAGGGCCGGGGCTACCAATTTCAATCTTTCAATAATTAGTGTACAATAATGTTTTCCAAAAATGGTACTTTCGAGCTACAATTGTTGTTCATGAAGCTCGATTTCTTATTAATTTTTTGTAATTACTGTCTCAGTATTTTTTTGTGCAGAGATGGATTGAGAGTGATGCATCTGTTCCGAACGGACAAGCGGTACATGCATAGCATCAGCCAGTTTATCACCGATGCCAAAGCCCATGCTGGGAAAGGGAACCCTGTCTTCTGCCCATGCAAGGATTGCAAGAATCACAGGAACTTTCGTCAAATTGAACGACGAAGATGCCTGAACCCAGCAGAATCCCATAGCCTGCATTCATCAACGATGGCCTGAAGTAGAGCGTCCGCAGTTATTGACTCGCACCTAAAAGTTCTTTCATTGCGTTCTTTCCAGAGCTAGCCAACCCACCACCATTACCAGCGAGTCAAATCCCTTTCTGAAGTCTTTCGGTGTGGACTTCCTAGAGAGTAGCCACAGGACCAAAAGCACACGTGGTCCTGTGGTGCAAGGCTCACTATTCCAATGGAACTCAGCACCTTTGCCCAAACTGTCCGACTGAAGACGCAGCTTAGCAGCAAGTGATCGATCTCCTCGGGCGTTTGATCACAGAGAATGCAAGAATCGGAGTCCTACAATCCATGGCGCTGATGTCGAGCAGCTGTCCAACAGCGCTTATGCATGGCTAACCAGGAGAAGTGCTTAACCCTTCCGGGAGGGAATATCATGATACCTTGTGGTGGTATGGAATGTACTTTTCAAGTTCCTCTGAAAAAGCGTATAGTAATCTCATTGGCCAAAGTCCATGGGACAAACGCGGAATAGCAACTAGCATTTTGTTTTTTTCATTGAAGTCCATGTTCGAATGTTCTTGTTTTTCGTTGGAAAAACCAATGTCGACGTCAAGATCAGTCTCCTTTCTCATTTGTTTTGGAAGCAGAGCTGAAAAAGATGGGAAATTCCATTGATTCTTCTTTCATTAGAATGTCGATTCCTCACAATCGCTCTTTGTGATGCTGCGAAACCATGACAATTAGGTACTCAAGACGCAGCAACACCTATGATGCAAGAAATCATCCTCCTTTTTGGTTCTGGCTGGTTAGAGCAGAGGACTTAAAATCCTCTTTTGATTAGCGCATTGTCCCTGCCAATTTATCGAAAGAAAGTGCTATCCACTGAGGAGCAAGGAAGGTGCACTAACGCCGCTAAGCTAGGAAGCCGTGATTGGTAGGTGGTATTGAGACAGGGACTTCGAAACAAGGGTGATTGCGAGATAATTTTGCGATAAAGATTGCACTGCACCAATAACAAGCGTCTGCTGGTCCAAGTGTGGCCACCGTTTGCTTGCCTCGGCTACTGACAAATCATTGACAGTTTGGGATGTGTCCTGACGGCCCCCAGCCCAGCCCAGCCCAGCCCTTGACATTAAGAATAAGAACTCAACCACGATGCAGCCCTTGTTGGGAGGGATCCCGGATTCGTGATGCCTGACGCAGCAGCTCTGCCGGACGACGCGCTCTGGCGGCCATGGGCGGACCTCCTTTGGATCTCCTCCGCGACATCTCGCGCCGCCTCCACGCCACCACCGACTACGTCCGCTTCCACGCCACGTGCAAGCCCTGGCGCTACACGCTTCCGCCGGCGCCGTGCTATCCCGCGTTCCAGCCATGGCTACTCGCGCCGCCGGACTCCGCCAAGCACCGGATGGCTCGCTGCGTCTTCGCCTCCTCCAGATCGACCCGCCGTGGCACCAGCGCCGCCACTGAGATATCGGTTCGAGATAGGAGGTGGGTGATCAGCCTGGTAGACGGCACTGCCGTCTCTACCCTCACCAGTATCTGTTCCGGTTCCGGCCCTAGCGGCAGCGGCCTCACCGCCGGCGTCGATGTCGCCGACCCTCTCACTGGATCTGCTTCATCTGCATCGGCCACACCCCTACCCCTACCTCCCTTTTCATGTGACGACGAGACCAAGTGGTGGGTGGACCACGCCGATGCCGTGGTCTGCGGCGACGGCACAATCTTTCTATATTTGTTTGGTCCCGTCCACCGCAGGTCGTATTACCTGCCGGTGTTCAACGCTGCCCTCCTGCGTCCTGGCGATACGGCGTGGACAATGGTGCATAAACAGTACCTGGGCATATCCTCCATAGGAGACGACCCCTGCAGCTGCATTGCCCATCACGATGGGAAGATCGTCGCACGCTACAGGAACTGGTGTTCGCACTACATTGAGACAAGGCAGGTCGACCACAGCCAGTGGGTAACCCCACTGCCATCTCATTATGGCAAGGCATTGCAGGCAAGCTACCTCTTGGAGTCTCGAGGGGAGCTTCTTCTAGCAAATGTCCTAGCAAATCATGCGCACAGTTATACCATAGCCAGCTTTGTGGACGGGCTGTCGGTTTCAGTCCACGTGCTGCAGGAGGCGGAAAGCGGAAAAACACAGTGGGTGAAGAGGGACGGCCCGAGCTTGGCTGATCGCGTCATGTTCCTCGGGAGTCCAAGCAGCTTTGCTGTGGATGCCGCGCGGTTTGGCGAGATCAGTGGTGGTGGCTGCGCCTATTTCGTCCTCAAGAGCGAGCTCTATGGGGGGATCTGGAGCAAGTTGGCCGTCAAACGCTGCCGTGTGTTCAAGTACAGCTTCCTGGACCATAGGTCAGAACTCATCGAGCAGCTCCCGGCTGAATGGGACAACGACGCCTGCATGTGGCTCACGCCGCCACAACCTTCCATCGCTTCAACTGAGGTAATCAAGTGCAAATCTGAGATTGCACGATCTCATCTTTAATTGTTTATACAGAATTTGTAGTGTTTCTAGAAGAACAATTCATATCTGTTTATCATATCATATCATATCATAAGTGGTATACAGAATATATATAGACGTACTGTTCTGTAGCTGGCCGCAGAATAAGTTATTCTGTGACCACTTTGAGTTAATTTACGAGATTATGTTAACTCCCTCATAAGTGATTTACTATAGCATTATGATAAGTATCATCTTGAATTATAATAACCCATGTATCGTAAATGTGTATTGTCTGTATCGTAAATTGGTACAAACATTATCGTAAATCAAGGTGGCCATAGAATAAGTTATTCTGTGGCCAGCTGTAGAATAACCTAACTATCGTAAATATGTATTGATATTATCGTAAATTAGTATATAAAATTATCGTAAATGGAGGTGGCTACAGAATAACTTATTTTTATAGCTAATATATATATATATATTCTACTTACAAGCATTCATTAGTAGTAACATTCATTTGCATGCACATGCAGGAAATTAGAGAGATGATTGAGCCTTCACACACAAAGGCTGCAGGAGGGCCACAATTCGGGCCTTATTTCAGGATTTATGTGGGCAATCTGCCACGGAATGTGGATAGCTATCGACTGGGACAGTTCTTCAGCAAGTATGGCAAGGTAGCAGAAGCAAGGGTCATGTGCCACATAAAAACCAAGCGTTCACGAGGTTTTGGGTTTGTGACCTTGGCGACTGTAGTTGATCATGAGCATGAGCAGGAACATGCTATTGCTAAGCTGGATGGACAGGTACATATTTATTGATGCTTACTTTTTTTTGAATAGCTAATTAGCCAATCAATTCCATGAATGAATGAATGAAGGATCACCTAGACACACATGCATGATAAACTGTTCATTTTGGATCAATTTTTCAGATTTTGGACGGGCGTCCCGTGCGAGTGAAGTTTGCAGATCAGAAGCAGCCACATGTAGCTTGCTAGTCTAGCTAGTTATGTTTAATGTCTTGCAATCAGCATTCTTGTAATAATCACCAATGTATATTTATTGTGCAAAACATCTCATTTTATGGAAATTTGGATCTGTGACATTGAAAGATTGTCTCAATTTTAGAAATATACCATCAAACAATCTTAAATCATTTCAATCCGATTTGATACAATCTTAAACCAAATATCTACTGTTACTTCAATCCGATTCGTCCCCTACTTTTTCTGCGATTTGATTATTGCTAGTCGGTGTAATTGCTAGGTTGCTCTTTTTCCGTTTTTTTTTACAATTCAGCGGGGTCTGTGCAGCACAAGGTGATTTGCTCAAAGCTTAGCACTATTTTTTGCTGCTGCTAACTGAGGGAGGCAAATTCAGCAAGCGCTGATGATCCTTCCGATTTGAGAGAGAGATGAGCTGCCAAATTGGACATGTCGATGCAAGTTTCGGGCAGAGGCACGCTGTGGTGCGGGGTTGTTAGGCGGCATCTGGTGGACCTGAGCTAGGGTGTCACAGCTTTTTGTTGAGAGGCGGCCGGCTGTGCTGTGCCTTTGAGTAGTGGAGGGCAGCACTGCGCAGGCTTCAGGCACAGCTGGGTTGGGGTGCGGTGATATGTGCCATAGTTGCGGAGGGTCTACAGCTAGAATGATCGACATGCACAGCTATGGAGAGACCGTAGTTGGATGGCAAATGCCACAGAATGTTATATATCTAGCAGTGTGATCTTTTGGTGTCACAGAACCAAAATTTTCAGTTATTTTCAGTGAAGGAAGTTAAGGCATTCCTGGTAGCTGTGAAATACAGTAGCATATATTGTGTTCCTAGATTTTTTATGTTGATCAAAAACCTGGGCAAAAATATATATCTCCCAGATATTAAAAATCTATATATATGCAATGCATTCTTGTAGGTCCATACTAGGGGAATTTCCAGAGATAATCGATGAGTATTTGCATCATGGAACTATGAAATATATTGTGTTTAATCGTACAGGAATGCTTCTTTCTGTTAATTATCTTAGTTTGTTGCTCTTCAAGTTGATTGAAGCGATGTTTTGTGTAGCTATCTTCCTAGATCTTGATTAGTGTTGGTATCAAGTTCTTGAAAGTTTTTTTTAATGTTAACAAGAATTAAGATTTCTTCTAGTCCAGCAAAACAATTTCTTTCCCATCATCGTTGTCGTAGCTGGTAATCAGTCTGTATTATGGGTAGTGCCAATGGGATCCTGTACAATGTCATTGACAACATATTGCCAATGATATTGAAAATGAGAGAAAACAGAAAGGTAGCAATCTGAGTTTATGAAACCATGTTTCCTACTTCAAGTTTAGATAGTTATCTTGCTATTGCAATAATTGTATTTAGATCAGGGGAAAGTCATACAAAACAGACTTTGACCTTTATTTTCTACCGCAATATGTTGTCAATTGCTAATGGATCAATGTCATCTGAGGCACTTCAAATGCAAATCTATTGATGTATATTTTATATCCTAAACTTGTATATAATTTGAGTAATTGTTGGTCAAAGTTTGTAAAAATTGACTTGTTCCTATACAAAATATAATTATAGTTGTGGGACGGAGGGAATATCATGAGATACGTAATGGTGGTATGGAATGGTAATGGTATTGAGTTCATTGAAGTAGGAGCTTCGCTTAGTTTATAGTTTTTCCATATGAAGTTGGTGCTGCATGCCTGTAAAGACTTGTGATAAATATATGAATGCCAATATTATTTATGATATGCATAGTCAAATCGTTGGATGTTGTGCAATATCTTTATTCACTTGTGAAAATTATTTTCAATGAAATCAGCTGGATATTCAAATGAAGCCGTGTTATCTGGGACATCCAAACAAGGGTGATTGCAAGATAATTTTTGTGATAAAGATTGAATTGCACCTATAACAAGCGTCTCCTGGTCCAAGTTGCTAGCTAGACGGACCCATGAAAGCTAACTCATGTGCACATTAGTCAAAAAAAAAAAACTCATGTGCACATTCATTACAAGAACACAGAACACAATTCACATCAACCCAAGCAAATTGCTTGGATAAAATAAACTTAGATTCCTTCAACAAAATGCCTGAAAGTGAATGATCACATTTAGTCGACTTGAAGGCCTTCACCAAAACCAAGGAATCTGATACGATTCAAGCTGGATTTGCATCATATCTTGATATGTTGCCGTGGTGATTGCTGCCAAATAAGGTTGGCACATAAAGCATCATGTAATTTATTACCTAAGTAATTTAAAGAGAATTGTCGGTGCCATTGTTATGCATTCGTTAAAGGTACATTTTTCGTAATTGGATAAACTATTCAAATAGATGGTTTATCGTAATATATCTTGCTTATTTAGTCCATATTGTGCTACATATTTTTTTTAGCAGTCGTTGAAGTATGGAATTTATATACTGTACATATTTTACAGTTAATTGAACTAATTTTCCATAAAAGTTTAAGTTGGTATTTAGACGTAGATTAGAGGGGTCGTTATTTTACTTTTTATGATGATAGAATTAATTTAAATAAAAATTAAATGACATATGGGTAATTTATTTAGATGCAAAAATACATAAAATTATCCACCCATGCATGTCAACTGGCCCTGATCAAATGTGGCCTTGGCAACAAAGTGTTATGAACGATCACGCTTGTGATTGTGACCAAGGAGGATCAAACAAGAACACAAAATAGACACAACGGATGTAGTATTATTTCCATCTCTTACCCAACAGATTCAAGCAAAGAAACAAGTGTAACAAAACTAGTAGTTACTGGCATGAACAATCAGGCTTTGTTCCACAGATCTTGCACCGCACTAACCACGCCAAGAACTCAGCAAATTCATTATAGCAGTATGAACAATCGGGCTTTGTTCCACAGATCTTGCACCGCACTAACCACGCCAAGAACTCAGCAAATTCATTATAAAAAAAGGAAAAGATATTCCCCATCATGCATCAAGCAAGCGAGCTAGGGATCAATGATGGTGGATTGGACACCGACGGAGGCGGAGGGTTTTGTTGGGACGCAGCAGCAGGTGGGTACCCCCGCCGACGACCTTGCATTGCCCGACACCATTGATTCCCAGGACGGCGCACGTTGCCGAGCACTGATCTTCCATGCAGACTCTAACTGGGCCGCAGTATCCGCCATCCGGTTCCAGCTGGAAGCCGCCGGCCCTGCCCGCCGATGCAGATGACGCAGCGAGGAGAGCCATCAGCAGCAGCGGGACGACGATGAGGAAGACGAGAGACTTGTTGGACCACGCCGCGAGTGGTGGCGCCATTAGGCGTAGCTAAGCGTGCGTACGTAGGTATGGTCTTCTTGATTGATGCTTGTGAAGTCTGCGGGCCGGGAGTAATATATAGGCTGGAGGCAGAAGTAAATTTGCCATGAGAGATCAATTCAAGATATTCTGCCGTTCCTGAAGCATAACTCTTGCCATGCATTTTTAGTGTTTCTTTTATAGTATTGTATGCTTGTTTCTGGTCCAGTTTCCAGGATTTATATATTCGTGGCTAGATATACCCTGTATTGAAGTGCACCACTATTGGCGGCCAATATATCATACCAAATTTTGTCCTCATCATGAAGATCCCAGCCGGATGATCGTATATATTAAAGGCGTTGTAGCAATGGAGGCGTTTTTACAACGCCTTCATAGTTGATGCTGGCACAGAAGACCGACCATTTGGGCCTTATTATCCTTTGTTACTCAAGCACGGACAAGCAGCAGTCATGCGCACCGACGCATGAAGCGTTCACCAATTTGAAGCATTGGTCGCTCATTGGCATGTTGACATGTGTCACTACATGTTTTGCAAAAAAAAACCCTCCATATTTTTAGAAACTAACCTGCAGTCCTGATTCATTCCAACAGTCTCGTTCCCGACGTCTCATCGACTCTTCCTTCCACCCCCATCTACCACGCGGGAGCGGCTTGCCAAAACCCTAGCCATCGTTGCCTCTTCCCTCCTCTCTTCTCTCCTATCTGCCTCACCGTGTTGCCGTGCTCGCGTGCTCAGAACAACTACCCAGGTACTCCCTTGTGCGGAACGGAAGGCGAGGTCCTCCGCGTGGATCTCGGTGTCGACTGTCAGATCCGCGACCGGCTCCACCAGATCCATGCCGGGAGACAAGAGGAGCGCTGGAAACCACCTCTATGGCGGCGGAGATCTACGACGAGGTCAGGATCGAGGCGTGCCAGCGCTGGCGAGTAGCAAATGGGATCTCCCTGAACAGTGACCGACGAGATCTCCTGAACGGTGACCGATAGCTTCCCGGCAGCTTCCTCCCACCTCGGGCGCCCTCATCCTAGTGGGCGTCCCTGGTCCGGTAACCTTGGCTCTCGGCTCTACTCTGCCCTGCCGCCTCTACCTCTCCGCCTCCTCTACCTCATCCCTGCCCTGCTGCCATCTTGCCTCGACCTCGTCCCTCCTCACCCGCAGATCGAAGACCTGGTGTGTTGCCCAACGCAAGGTATGCAAAATTGCAAATAATCCTAGCTTGCTCTGCTCAATCGAATGCACTAGGGTTTATGCAAATTCTGAGATAAATAAACATTGTTTCATGTAGATAATTATTTAAGAATTGTATACAAATATATACATTTGTTTTTCGTATCTGCACAAATGAATTAGACAGAATGTACCAGGGTTTATACAATTTCTGAGATAAATAAACATTGCTTTCCATTGGTGTAGGAGAGTTATCTAGGGATTGTACAATAACTTGTACACATCTGTATATACTTGTAACCAAACTTTTTCTTATATGCACAAATGAATTAGAA